TGCTGAGGCAGTACCCTTATAAAGTCACAGATGTGGCTTATGAAAACCAYCTGCTAATGCCAAGTACAGATGCTAAGAGAAAAGAGCAGCCACCTCAATGATAGTTTCCATGAAACTTTAAATAATAGACTAAGCAAAAGAAAATAACTAATTTTACATAAAAGACATCAAYATAATCTTAACAGGATACCCTGATGTTAAAACACATTTGTTTGGAGAGGGACTTTCTTTATAAAACAAAATTAAAAAGCAAATTTTMTTTTAAAAATCCTAGCTCTGCTGTGGAAAAGAAACTTGAAATAATGAGCAATGCATAAGTAAGGCAGTTCATACAGTTTTTCATACAGCAAAAGACTCTCAGAGTTCAGAGACAGCTCTTTCCCACCATCAGGTACCAATCCAAAAACCCACAGCTGTTGAGACAGAGTTCAAATACCTCTTGAAGGAAGGACTGCTGTATAACAGAGGGACACAGAGGGACARCACTCACTCAACCACCACAGCAGACAAAAATAGATAAAATTCTGCCATTTCTCTCTGTGTGAGAGGGCAACTGCACCTAAGTCTCAAGGAATATATACACAGAAATATGTAAGAACAACAACCACAAGCTSTAATCTGCTGTTGCTTGAATTTTATTTTGATAAAGCATATAACATCTGTTATGCCTAAGAGTCAAAGAATGTTTTCTACAAARTTTACTACAAGTTATCACTCTTGTCAGTAGGAGACCACATTGCTGTATTTAAATTCTTGTGGTTACACATCATAATGTAGGATGGCTAATAGCACAGTCTAYAAATCAGCAATAAACCTTCCTTGCAAAATAATCCTTCTTTTGTTTACTATAATGTGATTACAAAGAACAAAGGAGAGCACAGCAGACACTAGTTAGCAAAGTAAAAACTGATAGTGATTTACCTTGCGTCATTACTAGAATGACTTGAAAGAATGACTTGACATCATTACTTGAATGACTTCATTTTTCCACATAGATTTGCTTTTGAATAGAAATAGATTTTAAACATTCATATCATGCTGCACTATCTCAGCTCCTTTCTCAGCTACTCAGGGAAGCTGTGCTCAGCACACTGCTCAGATTAGCTTTGCACACAAAGCCATTTTCTAGAAACTCTGAGTGAGAAACTTTCCCTACAAATCTCTCCCACACATGGGCTAGCTCACCTGAGCTCTTACGACCGCAAACTTGACTCCTGCTTCCCATCCTATCCTCAAGCCTCATTAGCTGGTGCATTCCAGGAAGGCAATTAGAGGAATATGTGATACAGAGCAGCAGTAATGAGAAAAACAATAATTGCAGCTCAGACTGTGGTAGTAAACACCTGCACTGCTGGAAGTGTGGTTCAGCTCTGCCACCTGGGACTGTCCAGACATTTCTTTGATGCTTCCTTTTGCCAGAGTGTGGAGGACAAGGTCAGGAGGCTTCAGGTTACAGCTCAGAAACAATGCAAAGCAGAAAAAAGGCAAAGGACAGCTTTTGGATCAATTAATCTGTTTAGCAGCTCCTTCAGATGACATGTCTGTGAGCTTTATAGAGGATGGCAAAGTTCATTTGTGAGTTATTAAAGACACCAGGAAATAAGAACTCTCTCCTTTTCCAGGCCACAGAAGCAGCTGAAAAGTGGAGATGACATTTTCAACAGCAGAATGTTTCGCTCAGTCCTGCATAAAAAGTACTTAAAAATTTCAAAAAGCATCACAAGGCAACTTGGATGCCCTAATGCCAAGTTTTTAATTACCAACACTTTAACTTTACAATTTAACTAAACTAGTGTGGTGTGAATAATTTTACCCAGGTCTCAATCCTCAATTCATAAAGGAATGCTATGTCTTCYAGTCACCGGTGCATGCTAAGAGAATCCTACAAAAATGCATGAGACTCTTCATTAAGAGAGTTACCCAGGCACAAGGAGAGCCCTGGACATCGTCCTGAAATGCTTGAATGCTTTCTCAGCCAGTCACACCATTTCCAGGTCAGGAGGGTGAGGTCTCCTATCACAGCACCACTGCAGACTGCAGTGTTGGCATCCTCCACAAAGCAATCAAAAAAGAAAGAGGAAYGACATTCCTAGTTCACATAGTTACATGCTAGCATTCAAAGTGTTTCCATCAACAGCTTCTGACTGACAGCCAAAAACAACATCACACTTCCTTTACAAGAGTCTCACATCCAATAGRCCAAGCATTAAGATGTCCGGAAAGAAACCATAAAGAGATTTCATCAGTTCCCAGCTCCTATTTAATACCTAATTATTACCTTTGGTTATAGACAATTTATAGCACCCATTCAGGCTTCCATATTTCATTCTAAGAGGAAAATGTATTTACACAGAACAACTATTCATATAACCACAAAGCAACAAATCTTTTTTAGTGTATAGAATAGTAAATTTGTATTAAAGACTTTCAAATGTTATTCCAGGGAACATATTTGAGTGAATTTACACCCAGAACTCTATTTTGATGATAAAACAAATCATTTAGTCTCTTAAAGAATGACTGATAGCATTATTAAGGATACTGGCTACAGGCTGTTTAAACTTTAGGCAATGGAAAAACTTCTGCATTTTGTGTAACCATGCTTGCTTTATAACTATCATGGATTATTTGGGCATAGGAGTCTTCTGTCAAAGAATGCACTGTGATGGATGCCATACAGATACAGAACAAAAAGACCAGTCTTTTCCTTCTGCTAAATAACAAGGATTTGGAGAACTCCTGCATTAACATTTTTTAATGTCTGAATACTCAGTAAATTTTAAGATGCAAAACCAATGCTCATCTGCCATTGTAAATTAAATGAAAAGCAGCAATGAGGAAGTTTGGATGATAGTCTAGAACAACCAACTGACCCATGAGTTCTAACCTTTGTCTGCAGCTTTCCAGTTTCTGGGACTCTARAAAAGGTTTAGTATTTTTGGCTGGAACTGAGATTGCACATATTACAGWACTTCAATCCAGTTGAACTGAAATTTTTACTGCAGGAATTCTTCCTTTTTAAAACACACAAGAGTTCCCAGAAATTGTGGCCACATGGGAAGCTGCTGGGACAATTGCAGAGTGTTKTGTTAGAGATACTGAGAGGTTTGTGTGATGGCCGTATGGGAACAAAGTAAGAAGCTGGAAGAGAGCAGACTTTTAAACCCACTGAGAGTTTTAGTCCTCTTGATGTCTATCAAGGTTACTTGAAATCTTCATATATTTGGTATTTGCCTCTAAGTTGTTACATTTGTTCAAAGCTAGAAAGCAAGTTCTCATGTCAGAACCTTCACAGAGAACATACAACCACTTCCTCTTCCCATTTATAAAATATAAAAATCCATCTTGAGATGCTTTTGCTAACCTCAGCTGCAGCAGCACAGTAGAAGGAACAATTGGTCTATTGCCTTTGGGGCCAAACACCAAGACTGCTCTCTGCCTCCCCCCATCCCATCTGTTACACCACCATGAGTTGAAAAGATGGAATTATTTTACAGTCTCCCCCTGCATTACCTCCTGAATTTCCACTCTCACCTTCATACAAACACTTCTTTTYCAGTTTCAGATTAATTTCTCCATGTGCAGGAAGCTGCCCACCTCACTGATTGGACCCTCCTTTCCAAATGACATTCCTCACCAAACAGCTGGCCCACGCTGGCTACATCAAAGGTTTTCCTGTTTATCACACCTTATCTGACAGTTATAGGTGCTTTTAAATGCTATGATGATATATGCACTATCAGGCACTATTCAAAGCAACACACCCAGGAAAAACATTAAGACAGATGTGGTGCAACATTGCTCACCAAGCAGGATCTAGTGAGAGGGAAGGTTATGATAAAAATCAAATAATATATCCACCACTAAAGTAACACCAAGCAATAAAAGGTTAATCTTAGCTTAATTCAATGCTGTAACTCTTTTAAACAGTATCTATTAAAATCTGTTCCATTCACAGCTGTATAACGAATCAACTATATTTTCCAAGCACGATTTTAAACAAAACCATGGACAGGGGATTTTTAAAATCAGTTAGGTCTGACTTAAAGGTAAAATATGTTGAAAACACGTAAATTTAGCTTCCAAGTTTCCCTTTTCTGTTAAAAGTTAAAGGCTTGTTTTGGGTGGGATTTTAAAATTTTATTCAAAACTTTATTTTGTCTTTTGTGGAGGAAAAAAAAAAAAAGAACAAAAGAGTCCAAAATATGCTAGTATACTGCCGGCTAAGTGACTAGGCTAGTTTTCTGGCYGGGCTACTCCTCAAGAATCATTTTCTCTACTGCATGAAAGAGTTATTTATCACAAAAGTCCATGCATTCAGAAGACAACGCGAGGCACTCGTGCCAAAAACAAAGGCAGCATCAAACCAAAGACTGGCCCTCAGAGCTTGTACCACTTTYAAAACCATTCCTGTCTGGAGAGCTATAGCATTTCTTTAACAAGAGGGGTARACTACCAGCCGCTGACATTTGGGCTGCTTGCTTTTTCACTTTCTTTTCCTCCCCGAATTTCCAAAGTCTGTAAGGTTTTAAGCACGTATCATATATAAACAACACCAGAGCACTGTGCTACGGCATCTTCTTGTTTGGGGGAGTTGTCGTCAAGCCGTATCATGTAGCTTTTGGGAATTCCATTGGAGCCAAGCAAACCGGGGAGGGAGCGGAGCTGAGCGACAATGGGAATATCCGGCTCTGCCTCCCGCTGGAAAAAACAGCAACAACAGAAGGGGAAGGGAAGAGTCCTTGACACTGTATGACAATTGTCCTATTTTGGGGAGCTCAAGAAGAGGGAAGTCAACCTAACAGCTTCCACTGGGTGACTTTTCTAAGAAAACTTCCCGARTTATTTAGCGAGGCGGCGAGAGGCTGCCGCACCGCCGAACTCCCCAGCGCCTGCGGTCCCTCCCTCAGCCCCGGGCGGCGATCCCGTCCCGGYTGACAGGACCAGCGGTTCCCGATCATCCCCCGGGATCCCCCGTCCCCCTCCGCGCCCCGCCGCACCTTTTGCTCAGAGGCCGGACCCGCAGGGCCACCTTGACGTTGGCCATGGCTCGGCTCACGCCCCGCAGCTGCGGCCGCCCGAATCCCGGCCCCGCATCCCGCCCCGCGGCCGGGATGGGGAGGAGCGGCGRGAGAGGAGCCGCCCGGCCCGGCCCGTCCCGCCCCGGAGGGGAGGGCAGGGCACGGAGAGCCCGGCCCAGGCAGCCCCGCCGACCGAATGGAAGGGAAACTTCCCCGGGCGGCGTTTCGGGGAAAGGCTGCCCCGAGCAGCCGCGCCGCAGCCTCTCCAGCATCCAAAGGGCGCTTCTCCGCCTCGAACAGGTCTGCCCGGGACAGCGGCACCCTCACAGCAAGAGACGGCGATTTCACAGCTCCCCAAATTCTCATTCGCAGCAGYAAAACCAGCGCGGGTTTTACCCAAGAGTTCAATGACGCCAATCCGATTAGAGAGGTGATGCCCTTAATGCGCTCACTAGGGACCAGCACTCTTAGCGCTCCACATTAATTTTACAGGAATTTGGGGAAGGCAAGTATCCCTTTCTTATTAGTTCTCAGGGAAAGGTCTCAAGTGTTTTCAATTCTTTTTGGAAGCCTCCAATCTTCATGTAGGTTGTACTTAAGAGTCTAAAAGAAAATTTTTAAACTTCCAAAGAACTTTAATTGAAATCAATATCTAGTTCAATATCTAGTTGTTGCATCAACAAAAATGTTGTACATAGATTAATACAAAAATCACAGAAAGTTTTMAAAAAATCTCTTTTAGAATAGTTGCTGTCAGCTACTGATGTTACCAGGTMTATGCAAGAGCAAGTAGCACTGGCATGACGAAGATGCCAGGCTCAACAGACAATTCCTTTTTTGCTTTTGACAATTCCATTTGCCAATACTRCTAGTCATTTTTAAATGAACTTCTGTTTTTGCATTTCAAAATATGATAAACTGAGCTATAGCTGAATATCMTATATGAGAGTTTTACAGTCCTATATTGTTTTTATATTTAAACAACTTCTGTTTAAATGGACTTTTAACTGTACTGCTTTTTTGTACCTGAAGCATAGTTCTTCTCATGAGAGTTTGCCTTAAATGYTAAATCTCCAGAAATGTTAAATCTCAGCAAAAATCCCCACATTTCAAAAGCTTTCCCGAGTGAAGTATGGGATAAATTCTTCTGACTCAATACTTCATTCACCACAGAGATGCTAAAATGAATATCCAAAGGCTGTAGATATTAATTTACTTCAATAGACTTATCCCTTTAAATCACACTAAAGAATTAATTGGCACATCACCATAATAGTAGATACTCAATAGTAAAAGAAGAAAATAYGCTTAACTCTTTGGGATATGGCAAAAACACGTATTTCAAAGAGTTACAACGAACAAACTGACTAGAATGTTTTCATTGTACTTCTAAAATTATTAAATTACAACAGCTTTAATTTGCCTGGCCTAAATCATCAAGTCATTCTAAGACACTGAGAGGGAGAGGCTAAGCCTGTGACAGATGTTTAAGATGTTGATTCACAAAAATCACAGAATCAATTAGGCTGGAAAAAACTCAGCTCATCGAATCCAACCTGTGATCACCTATTGTCCTGAAGAAGCCCAGAAGTCTGGATTCTGTTTTCCCAGAACGTGCAAAGCATTTTCAGTAAAAATGCCAGCTTCTCTGCAATTGTGTGAAAAGCCTTCATTTCCACATCTGAAACAAGAGTGCTATGGGACTTTGGACTCAAATCCTTGCAATGATGTATAGCAAGTGTTGACACAAAGACCCCATTAATGTTTGTGGAACTCAAACACCAGTTTATATTCTAGATTCTACCGAGTGACATTCTGCTTGATGTAACTCAAATTGTTTCTCAACAGTAGTATAAAGGAACATCAGCTATAGCTTACACAATCTACTAGAGAATTGTTAAACTGGATGTCTTGTCATCACACCCCGCAGAATGGTTACGAAGAATAAAACAAGATTTTCAGAAAATTTCAGCTATATAATAGGCCAAATACAAGTAAGTCATAATAGAGTGTGCTCAACAAAGAGCCAAAGATTTCTTCCTTAAATCTGCTTAAAGTTTATAKGCAATAATCAGATAAACGTGAACTATGTGGTACTGAGCCACCTAGTGGTTACTCTGAAAAAGCAAAATGCTCCTATTTCAGCAACAGAAATCAGGTTTGATGTTCACATAAAAAGTGATAAAACGGCAGAAAGGAACATATGTACCACTTTACTCTGCTCTGTACTATGAACACAAAACTGGGCATACTCCTAAGACAAACCAATTATCCYGGTTTATAGATGTTCTGCCAGTGACATTTTACCAACCCATCTTTTCATGAGTGTTACAAACTAGAACAATCAATGCTTTTGATAAACTGTCAATTTTACTCATGGAACAAGAGTTTTATTCTAAGTGGAACACTGAAAACAGGGCAACCAACAAAAAAGAGTGTCTGAAGAATATATTTATCACTATCATTAAAGCATGCATTGCAAATCAGTGGACCTGCCATATATCACCAAGTCAATTTCCTGCTTTCCCACAAAACCACATCATAGTCATAATAAACTGTAATTTAAAATTAATTTAATTTCTTGGAACTCCTATGGAAGCATAAACTTGGACCTAAGACTTTGCTCTGTAATTTTCATTATAGGATTTTATAAAAAATTAAAARCAAGAAATTAACTTTTGAAATCTACTTTTATTAAAGATTTACAGTGACATACAAAATACAGTGTTTTATCAAGATGCTTACAAAAATGAATAAAGATACTATAGCAAGTGCTTAAGAAATATCAAAACAATTTTGCATTGAAGATACAGACTCCAAGGGACTCCTATCCAACKATTTCAAAAAGGAATTCCTTAACAGGCTTCTCAGTAGCCTGTCTTCCTATGAGCTACTGCTCATCGTCCTTTTTTTCAGTAAATAGTTGGAGAACTGTCACTTAATAACAGAAATGTAACTACCTACAAAGTCTCTGTTGGATTAAACCTTGACTCTGTGGCAGTTTWCACAGAAGACCTTAAAAAAATGCTTCTTTGAACAGTCATCCTATTTGAAGAAAATTATTTGTTAGGTTAAAGATAAGCCAAAGTCCAAGTCAGCAGTATTGCATACATTGTTAGAATACACTTCCTTTTGCAGTTTTTTCCATTTCAGTATTTTCTCTGTCAGCTCCTCCAACTCTAACATGAGCATCTCTGTTTTGGTCAAAGTGGTGTCCTGAAACAGAAAAAGGTTGCATTTAATATCTACACATCCTGTCAATCTACCAGGACATAAAAGTAACCTAAACAACTAAACAGCATTGCATTCTTCATGCTGGAGAAGACAGCAGGTTCAGTTCTTYCACTACTCACCATATTGCTCATCATATTCGGTATCTCAGGGATGCTTCTTACAGACTGCAAATGGCTTTCAAACTTCGCAATGAAAGTCGCAGCCTCAGTCAACAACTCTACTATACACCTGAAACCAAAAATGTGGTCAGAAGTTGTGCTAAACAACAAGAATTTAATACTTTGAAGCTCTTCTTTYCATTGTCCTGGTTTTCTTAGGTCCCTTCTCCAGCTTTATGTGAGTTCATAGCCATCTAATTAATTTTCCTGCCATTACACTTCTTTTATGACTCTTAGCAACAAGCAGGGTAGGAACTAGAGAAGTGAACAGCCCACTTCTKCAGTACCTGGCTAGATTTTTAGACGATAAGAAGAAGGACTATAGTTTTAAAACATGCACTATGCACGTCTGGGAATCATTCACACTTATTCTAAGCAAGCCACTGTGGAAGGAAGACAACCAGGGCTWAAGTTAATTCCTGCTTGGGAGAAGCATAACAAATCCAACATGTAGCACATTTGTTTAAAACAATACATCACAACTTATTCTGTACTGTTCTGAAGACAAGACCAATAACCTGAGTAAATATGAATAAAAATATGTACCACTACCTACCTATGAATTTATCAATGAGTAAACGACTAGCTTTTAGCTGAGGTTCTGCTACGACTTTTTATTTCTATTTTTGTAAGTGGAAAAATTAATGAAAGCAGGTGGTTTTACTTCTACTAGTTCAAATTAATTAGGACTCATGCAAACAAGAACAATTGTTTTCTGTGTACCTACTTGTGAAAAGTAGCCTCAATAGGCAGGCTCTCTTGACATCTGTGTTTTATCAACCTCTTTCTGAGAGCCCTCTTCTCTTTCAGTATGGCCTCCAGGTGCCTGTTCAAATCTTGCAAAATCTCGCACTTTTTCCCTATAAAATAAAATTGCAAAGTTGAACCTACTTGTCCTGCTGAAACAAGATCAAAATTTCTTCTGGAGAAAGACAGAAATAAAAACACTGATCTATTGCAGTGGACAGTTTACATTCAAGAGAYATTAATCAGACTGGCTCTTGTTGCAGCGTATATGATTTAGTACCAGCATGCACTTAAAGTCACAATATCTACTTTTTAGAGATAGGTATGGCAATAGCTCCACATTACCTGTAGTTTTTAAGTAAATTCTCTTTGAGATGAAGTCATAGCACTGAAGCATCACATTAGATTTCACTAGCCTAGCATAACAGTAGCAAGCTAGAATGTTTTTAGGCACCCATAAAATCATATTGGAAAAAGCGCAAAATTATGAATAAATTAATAGATATGCTCCTGAAGTGCTAAATTAAAAATGTAACTAAGTTTAGGGGACAGAGAAGGAACAGAAATACAGTGAGTTTCTGGAAAAGAAGCAGAGTAGCACATGCAGGCCAACAGTTACTGATGATCTCAGAACTGATGCTCCACTGACYCTGGGGAGCTGACCACACCTCCCACATTGTTTTGGAGAATGAGTTACACATGGATCTTCTACTGAGACAGTAGAGAGTGCAAGTTCAAATAGCTTGGAAACATGTTTCAGATGTTAATAAAACACCTACCACCTCTAACAAGTTATCCAGAGATGAYTGCTGCAATAACCTTAGAAGTGTCATGTACTCACATGTAACTTTAATCTGCTGATARGTAATTTAAGGCTCTTGGTTTTCCTATGGTACAACTGCACTTACCTAAGTAAAAATGATGAGTAATGTCTGCTGTCTCATTCTCCAACTGCATCATTTCAATTTTCAGTTTTATCTACAACAATAACATCAAATGAAAATGCATTTTTAATATACTTCTCCAGATATTGTTGACTCTCTTGGGGCGGAGGAGGAAGCAGAAACGGAGAAAGTGGCAGCACAGGGGGCAGAATGTGTGTGAAAGCGAGCAAGCATTGGCTTGAGAACACGCCACCATGCTCTCTGGAGCATTTCTACTACTAGATGGAGCTTTTTTGGTCAATAGGAAAATAAAGTTTTAAAAGACCAACAAGACTGGGAGATTTGTGCTGGAAAAGACCCAGGTCATGTCCCAGTCTGCCCTCATGTCTGGGATTGCCCTGACCCAGGCACAGGACTCCACATTAGATCYTGTTGAGCCACTTCTCAAGCTTGCCCAGTCCCCTCTGGATGGCATTGTGTCCTTCTGTTGTGCCCAGTGCTCCTCTCAGCTTCATGTCACCTGCAAATTTGGTAAGGGTGCGCTTATCTCCCTGTCTATGTCATGGATAAAGATATTAAAGAGCACCGATCCCAGGATAGAGCCCTGAGGGACACCATTTCTCACAGCCTCCACCTGGACAGAGAGCCATTGACTGTATCTCTCTGGCTGTGTCCATCCTGCCAAYTCCTTAACCACTGAATAGTCTACCCTTCAAATCCATGTCTCTCCTACTCACATCACTTACAAAGTAGTTTAATAGTCTATGCAGTGTCTAAACCAACATTATAAAATACAAGACAGCAGCCAATTCAGGCAGTAGGAAATGACTGAGATTATCTCTTGCTAAGCAGTGAAATTGCCTATAAAGAGACCTATTTTTGTGACTTGAAGTCAACTACCAATTCTTCTTTATTCTTCAGAAAACTTAAGGTAATGGTTTAGTCAAAGGTGCAGCCTGATGAGTCAGTCTATTTATACCTGCAACTTTTGTCTCGTGGCTTTGTTCTTTCCTTTGTGACAACTCAGTCCACGGGGGGAAAAGGTGTCAGCTGTTAAACAGCTGAAGCTTCAGAAAAACCCTCCAAACATGAAACAGCATGGCACATAGCAGCCTGTTAYTTCACAGGGGCCCTGTACTATCTCCACATATCGAAGTGCTGAGTGTACACTGACAGTGGTAAAGGCAGTACCTCATCGATTTCAGCTTCCATGTTCACCATTTCTTCCATCTCTGAGAATTTCGCAAAGCATGGTGTTCTTCTAGAAGTTAAATCCAAGCTCTCCTTTGAAAGTAAAACAACATAAAAATGCAGTCATTAGCARGAACGCACCGAACAAATTCTCCCTAATGGCTTTTAACATTTTGAAGCTGTTGTTGCTCTCCTGCGCCCCGCAGTACAGCACAGTTCTCCCGGAGAAGGCGCCAGGCCGTTCGGCAGCCGCGGGCGGTACCTGGCTCACGGCGCCCGTCTCCAGGCAGCGCTCCAGCAGCACGGCCGCCGCCGAGCGCTGCCCGGGCTCCCAGGGCCAGGGCTCGCCGCCGCCCTGCTCCTCATCGCTGTCCACGCCGAGCCACGAGCTCCCCTCCAGCTCCAGCTCGGGATCGCCATCGAGCTCGGGGTCGGAGTCGAGCTCGGGCTCGTCCGCCCTGCGGGGCCCGGGGCTGGGGCAGGGGCTGGCGGCCGCCACGGGCGACACGCCGGTGTCGCGGAGGGACAGGCGCGGGCGGGAGCGCCTGGGCGCCGCCATGGCGGGCGGGGCTGGAACGGCGGTGACTCGCGTCCGCTTCCGGGCGGCGCTGAGGGCGCGGCGGTTCTGGAACGGGGAGCGGGGGGGACGGGCTGGGGCTCCGCCGCCGCGGAGCGTCTGCGAGCGGCGCCCGGACAGGTTGGTTGGGCCCGGCGGCCCCCGCGGTGCGGGGTCGGGGCCGGAGCGGCCGGGCGGGGCTGGGGAGGGGGCCCGCGGCCTGCAGCGGGTCGGGGCTGGCCTCGCCCCTTGCTGGGGGCCCGGGGCGGCTCGGAGCGCATCTCCTGTCGGGCTTCCTTCGCGGCTGCTTACGTGCGGTGCCAGGCTTTATTCCCCACCGCCCGGCCRCCAACCCTGCGCTAATGCCGGGCCTGTGACCCGTGCGCCCTGGGATTAAACCCCGCTGGGGTTACGGAGGTGGGTGTCGTGTGCCTGCTAATAGTCACGGCAAAGGAGTTCGTTCTCTAAACGGAATAAAGGTTTTAAAAACAGCACTTAAAACAGTACAATTGTCGACAGGCCAACGCTGGTAGATGCCACAGAAATTACAGCCCGTCTTCGTGGAGAATCTCCTTATGGTGCGGGGCCCCGAAAGAGGCAAAATGTGGAAAATGTGAAGTTTCCCCACTTAGTTTTSACTGTGCTTGTTGCATCGTTTCAATAATCAAACTGCTGTATTGGAGACACCTTAATCTAGGTAAACCTTTAGACTTCTAGGTTTCAGTTTTGAGGGGAATGAAAACWCAACAGTGAAATGGTTCAGTGTGTCAGAACGTTGTGTTGGGGACAGTGCGCGTAAAATGACTTTACATTTGCTTTATCACAGACACTTTGGATTGCAGTTCCCTAGCACAGAGAGAAACTGGCTGACACCATCACTTAAACTCTGAGTGCTTGACCAGAACTGTTACCATGGGAAATAGTGCACTAAAAGCCCACCTGGAGACAGCACAGAAAACTGGTGTGTTTCAGCTAACGGGAAAGGGATTGACTGAGGTAATGTACTGGGATGGCTGTGTGCCTGAGTGACACTTTTGGAGAGAATTCCCACTTCATTGTAGTAACGCACTGTGTATGTGTATTTCTTATGAACAGTCATGGAAAATATTTCAAGTTTGGTTTATTTTTTCATTTTTGCTTGTCTTCTGATTGAAAATTTATCTGTTGGGACACTTGTATGTGTATGAGCTTATGCTTTACGCTGCATATATGTTCAAGAAATACTAGTTATGGTGTTGTGCTTTTAAAAAATGGCTGTAAACTTGAGGGGGAGAATATAAATTTTGTAATCGTGTTGTTACTTTGAAAGATACTCCACAATTTGCCACATTTAGATACTTACTTTGCATTTAATTGTAGCCATGAATACCAACCATGAATAGTCTGTACAGGCTGTTCATCGGGCTGGCAGCAAGCATCCTGGAAGGTAATTATATTGGAAATTGTCTTGACTTAGACTCAACTGCAGAAAAACACAGAATGTCCTGGAACTATAAGTCAAGCAGCCATTCATGGGATAGCTAAAAATAATTCTATATTGCAGTAATTTTCCAAACCTTTTCTAACATAACTTCTTCCACAGTCYTACCTTCTTTCTTTGCTTTTTCTCTGTCAAGCTGAGGAAGAATCAAAGCCTCTGGTTTTTCACCAGGACTGGTGGTTGATGGTGATTTGTCATGTTTTCCTTTTTTTCACCAGAGTGTGAACACTCAGTACCAAAAYGGTACAGGCTGTGAAAAAGAATAAGGAAAACTGTATACATAATTATTTTAAAAGGAAAGCTAGAGAAAAATTATCCAGTCATACTCTCCTAAAATACAGAGTTGTTATCTGGCTGTGGAGTATTTCAGATGAAAGGCATGTTTTAAGAGAAGCACACAAGAGGACAAAAATGTAGTGATTTTAATTTTACTTATTAGGATGAAAAACTACGCTTTCTAGATGTCAGTGTTTTCTTTATACCCTTTTTCCCTTCCCCAGATGAAAAAATATTTTTAAAAATAAATGTTAAACAAATTTTCCTATCACATTGTGGTGCTTGGACATTGTAATACATACGACAGTATGTCACAATGATACAAATTTCAATTAAAATTTAACTGGAACATTCAAATTTGTGTCAACCATTTAAATGCTGTATCCTTTTTCCCCCATAGTTTCCTGAAGATCTGCAGAAGCTAGCAAGCAACTTAAGGACGATAGACTTGTCGAACAACAAAATAGACCTCTTGCCACCTCTCATTGGAAAATTTTCCTTTTTGAAGAGCCTTGCTCTAAACAACAACAAAYTGAGTATGTCTGCTAATTAATATCTCTGCTGATTTTTAAAATAATAACTTGTTTTCTCTATCAAAAACTAAATTTAATTCTTTAACTATCTCAAGGTGTAAGTGGGGAGTTTAGTCACCTAAGCTGAAATTTTGGAATACAAGTAGAGGAGAAAAAACTTTAAATCATAAAACCTTTAAATCATAAATTCTGCAAAACTAGTTGCCACCTAGTGTATTATCAATTTTACAATGACACATGAGTACTTAAACCCACAATGGTTTTGTGCTGTGACTTACCTGATGTGGAGGTTTWCCAGTGTCAGATTGTTCAGTACTTGCCTAGAGAACAGGTAATGAAGAGGCTGTGTAGACAATGTTACTGGCCATTCAGTGGTTGTTACTGTTTCCATTGGATAAATATCCCTCATTATGGAAAAGTTAGAATGAAGAAGCTAGGGKTTTTATGTATTAGTTATGTATTATATGCCTTTTTGGAAACAGACATAATTTACAAACCTTATTGACTCTATAGTGCAGCTTAGGAGTTTTAGAGGTTGTACACACGTGTAGGTGGAAAGAGGTCCAGCAGACATTACCTGCCGAAGTCTTATGCTGGTATGACACAGTGTGATTTATAACTTTTATTATTTTTGAGCGAGTCAACAAAGTACCTTTAAAGGGCAAAGGTGAAGCTGTGAATTGTGTGGTATTTCAAGAATCATAGAGCATATTGGTAGAGTGTTAGTAAGGACTATAACTGATAGGCTAAAATCTCCTGAATAGTGATTTCAGAGCATGATCTGAATGTCTGCCTTGTCTGCAGATTATTTTTAATACATTTATGGAAGATGGTTAAAAAGCATGTGTTGTGTGTGGGCTGAAGCTTCTGTGCAGGGATCTGTACCTTTACGGAAAAATGGGGAGGAATTCAATGGGAAATTACTTAATAGCACTGTTCTCTGTGCAGAAGCTATTTTGGATTAAAYAGGTATGAATGTTTACTGCTCTTCATTTAGGTCATATGTTTTTCTGAAATTTTTCTCTAGCTGCTTTACCTGAGGAGCTGTGTAAACTGAAAAAACTGGAAACACTACACTTGAATGGGAATCACTTGAGGCAGCTACCGGCTGCATTTGGACAACTTTCTGCTCTCAAAACCCTGAGCCTTTCTGGAAACCAGCTTCGGACKGTGCCTACACAACTCTCTGGTCTTCGCCATTTGGATGTGGTAGATCTTTCAAAAAACCAGATCCAAAATGTGCCCGACTCTGTGGGAGAACTACAGGCTATTGAACTCAATTTGAATCAGAATCAGGTCTGGTAACTGAAATGTTGTGGGCATGTAGATTTAGGATATCTTGGTTTATCTTGGACTTAGTACATCCGTGGAACAGAAGAGGAGACCATCAAAACTTTATAGCTAAAAGACATCTCCTGGACACAACACAAATGAGGAATGATACCTAGAATTTGTGTACCAATACATCCAACTGTCTGATTTGATTAACTAGCAAATCCTGATTTAGTCATGCAGAAAATTATTTGAACAGTTCTTGAGTAGGAATGTGATAAACAGATGTGTAGGTTGCTTGTCATCATGGAATGAAAAAAGTAACTTGGATTTTTGATCGTATGTTACTTGGGCATTGTTGTTAAGTAGTTACTATTAATATAGTTTGCATTTACAACATGGTATTTTTTCTGTGTAAGTCTGAAACAGATCACTTTAATAATCATTGATCACTAYCATTTTAATCCCGTTTCTCTTTTCTTTTTATTTTCACAAGATTTCCCAGATCTCAGTGCAAATCTCTCACTGTCCACGCCTCAAAGTCCTGCGTTTAGAAGAAAACTGTTTAGAACTCAGCATGCTGCCTCAGAGTATCCTCAGTGATTCCCAGATCTCACTGCTTGCAGTTGAAGGCAACCTCTTTGAAATCAAGAAACTCAGAGAACTGGAAGGTTATGACAAGGTTTGTGGTTTTTTTGGTTTTTTTTTTGTCTTTTCTTTCAAAGAAACTCCTGGTGAAGTCCTGACTCAGAATGAGAGGCATTTGTACTGGTAAATAAAAGCACAAAATAGTCTGCTGGTAGTGTCATTGCTACTGGATCCAAACCAATCTGTGAAAACAACTTCAGGAGTCCTTCAAAGATAAAATTCAATGTCGGTGCCCTTTCAGCAGTATCTTTTGAAGGGTAGCTAATAATGACAGGTGTGTCTTCACTTTGGTGGGGACAAAATAATGGATGCTTTGTATTATATTCGTATAAGCACTCTTAAGTATTTAACATTATTTCATCCTTGTYACTGGAGATTTGACCATTAATCTCAATTGCAGCAAATGCCAGAAATTTTGGGGGGCTTTGGGCTTTGTTTGTGTGAATTTTAAGCTCTAATAGTTGTGTCTGAGATACAAAAATATGCTTTAGATGCAGAATGTTTTTGACTCTGAGAGCAGAAACTTAGCTGCTTTTAGTAGTAATGAATACCCTATTTCTGAAAAAATCTTAWTTTTTTTTTGTTTTCTTTKTAGTACATGGAACGATTTACAGCTACAAAGAAGAAGTTTGCATGATCACTATTCTGATCCTGTATATTACCAGAAATATAAGAAGACTTAGACTAGAAGCACCTGCTTCACTGACTTGAACCAAGACTGATGAAGGAAATGATCAGAGTACWCCTCTTCTAGTAGTCTGAAACAGCCTGTTAAGGCCACATTGAATAAACTTGAACTAGAGAATATAGGTATTGAACTGATGAACCTGCCCAGGGGCCAGTTTTGATTTTTGTGCCACAATAGCTTTTAACACAGTACATGTTCTCCTTTGTCAGGGCTTGTTCTTTCACAGAGAAAGGGAACAAGCATTTCAAAGTTGCCAGTTCCCTTTTGTCAGGAAGCTGGCTGTTGATTTGTAAGAGGGTTATTTCTTCTGGAAACATTTTTCCATGATAGCACATGGAAGTTCAACCACCAAAGCACTGTATGTCTTGCAGTAAGCACTATTCTGCAGAGAAGAATTTTTACAGATGAGGTTTTAGTTTATAACCTGTATAAGCTGGGTTTTTTTTGGTTTTTTTTTTGTTTTTTTTTTTTTTTTTAATGAAGCACAAATAGTTGTGATTAAGTTAAATGTTTTATTAACAGCTTCCAGTAAACAAATTGTGGTTTGAGCATCCTTTATTTATATTTACCCTACAGGCTTTCTTTTCCCATAAGCAAGAATTGCACTACAGTCCATTTTTGCTTGAGCTGTATCAAATGAGAATTAGGTTCATTTTCAGTGTATTCAGTAAAAATATATATCGCTAGAAAATATAATATCCTTGCACTGACTCCTTGTGTACAGAGCAATGCTGAAGGTTGTAGTTGTCAGCCCACTGCTGCTGCCTTATTACCAAAAGCACCTAGAAAAAKCTAAAAATGTATGCAATTATGTAASTTATTCTGAAAAGGAAAATGTACTTGTATATTTTAGTAAATTATTTTCAAAAAATCAGTTCAAGTTTATTTGGTGTAACTGTTGTCATTTTAGTTAGTACTGAGATGTCACTGAAAGCCCTTACTTAGCTACTTGAGTGTGACAGTTAGCAKCTACACTACAATTTAACACCCATAATTAGGATTAGCAATAAGTGGGTCTTTTGTGAGATGCTCAGCGAGGTATTTAGTTCCCTGACCCTGTTTTCAATTCTTACATAGTAATGCCTACAAGAAGAGTGCTTTAGGGGACATTAGCTCCTCATTCAAAGGAGGGATGTGATTAATCATTTAACAGGGAACCAGTTTTACTGGTTCCCATTCCAGCTATTCGTAAAAAAAACTAGATTTTTGTCAGAAGTGGCTGACAGCTGACAATGTTTATGAGACTACTTTGTTTCCCAAGATAACCAGGGAAGTGTTTTAAGAATACAGCTCTGTGTTACCATAATSCAAGTCCCTGTATAGTCAGAAATCTATTCAGCTTCATACTAGTAGATTCCACAGATTATGGCATGCAAGTGTAGCAGTGAATAAAGCCTCTACACTTGTTCTGAATTTTAGCTCCTTGTACTTGATACCTAAATCCCATTTGAAGTACTATCTTTCTTTTTCCTAGAAATTTGYTATGCATGAGACAAAGAACAAATTAGCAGTTAGCAGATTCCCCCTTTTGCATTCCCCAGAGTAGCCGACCATCAATATGTATGTACTTGGCACTACTGTGCTGTGGTGGCATGTGGTTTTACTATTTTTTAACTGAAAGTATCTGTTTCACTTAAAGCAGCATAGAGATGCTGCTTCTCTCATTTGAAATGTATTTTTCAGGATTCTTTATTCAACAACAACGTGTAAGAAGAGATGGTAGAATGYAACCACTAAAAATTATGGAGTCAGCATTACTATAACAAAAATCTTACAACTGTGGAAAGTATTTAAGTCAACATTTCTTTTATGGAATCACTAATACATTTAGAAACCTTTCAATTGCTAGTCATTGTTAGGCTCCCTTRCTGCCTTGGAGTTATGACAGCTATCAAAATTTCTGTAGAGCAAAATGGAGAAAGCACCATGTACAATAATGATCTGTTCCAGAACAGAGGAAGACTTCTGTTTCAAGGAAAAAGTAACTGGCTTATACCGTTACCTGTTTTAACTCATAGCAATGAACTGTGACTAAGTCACATAGTGGAAGGCTGTTTTAGACATTTCAGCACTCTAGGTAACTTAYTGGTAGGTTTATATTAGGATTTCCTGTTTTCCCTTCTCATCACCCCCCCCTACAGGGGAAGCTATAAAACCATTTTATTTCCATGCACAATTACGCTTGCAGCTTTTTAATTTTGGAATTACTGAGGTAGAACATGTCACTCCAATTAACAATACAAACCATTTGTGTATTTTCAGACCTATATCACTTGCTCTCATTTTCCATTGCAGTAGGACACACGTTTCATCCATCTATTCAACCAGCATTTAGACACTGCATTGCTTCAAGTGCAGCAAAGATGAATTAGCAACTGCAGTCATTGTGTGGTGTAAACAGTGAGTTGTTTCTCCATATACCTTTCACAGAGGTGAGTTCTGCAAGTAGCTGTAGAAGCAGCACACACTGCAATGTTCTTAGTACAATTACTGCTGTGCTAAAAAGCTGTCTTTTATCAAGAAATAGCCTAGCTTGAATTTACCAGTTACTGTCCTTAAAGTGTACCCATAGGACATGTGCTGCCTCCTCATAGTAGTTAAATAAGTAGGCTGTCCCTAGTTACTGGCCRATATATAGTATACTGGAAGTACTTCCAAGCTCTTCCCAAGTATSTTCATCTCTTTTGCAGCTCAGAATTGTTTTAAGTCAACAAGAGTGTATTTCCCCCATACCTCCTCCTCTTTAGAGAGTGTTCTGGGAATCTGAGGCTCTAGAATGAGTAAATAAAATTTAAATTGCCTTACAAATGAAATTGCATTGGCAGTAGGTTAAATCACTGCATTTCATTTACTGGCCCAGTTATTTGCTAGGCATCTGCTACCASTACTCAACTAGAAAGTTTTAAATTATTTTACTTTGTTCTTTTATCATCCTGAAATATATGGCCATATATGTCATGGTCTTTCAAAGAAGAGATGGACACAGCTCATAGTCTAAACCTAGGAGATACTGATTATGCAGGGATCAAAACTAGAGTGTTAAAGATCACAATATTCCTTTCCTCCCAACCACACCCAWTCTTTTGTCAGCATTAGGATTTCTGTGAAATAAAAATAGAATAGGAACTTCCTTGTTGCATAGTAGCAACTAGTTCTGCCAAGTTTTTCACGGACAGGAAACTAAACAAAGGCATTACTAAGAGAAAACAGTTTTAAAACACATTCAATTATAAAAGTATGTATTTTTTGTGCACAATATATAGTTTAACAATCAAAWGCAGAAATTGTAAACCTTCATTCTTAATAGCATTCAGACATACAAAGATGTACAAGTGTTGATTTCATACCATAGATATGAAAATTAAGCATCTATTCTATGGACAACAGTGAGACATCCAAGAAGCAAACTGTTTTTGACTAACACAAAGGCACCAACTCCCTCAAAGAGCAGGCTTGCACTGTGTAAGCAGAATAAGGTAACCACTTCAGTCTTCTGTTCCAGGAGACAGTCATAATTAAATAACATGTGCTTTGCTTTCACAACTAGCAGCAAATACTCCTCCAGTTCAGCTGAAGTTTTTAAGAAGGAAAAAARGGGCATACAAATTCCCTATGCAGGTGGCTGTTCAAAGTTTACTAKGCAATGTTCTTAAAAGTACTTCTTCGCTACTTCTGTTTTTAAGTACAGAATCTTCATTTACTGATTGGGTAGTGAGTGAGCTTTTGAAATTCATTAGCATTCCAACAATTACCAGAAGCTAGACAGGAGCCAACCCACTACTCAAGATTACTCATTAGATACTACTCAAGTATCTAATCTCCTAAAAATGACTTTACCTTACTCACATAAGGCAAATTGCCACTGGCCTATTTATTACATGCAGCTACCCCATCCTTTGGTCAGTTGTTTGGGGGGTTTTGTGTTTGGTTGGGTTTTTGTTGGGGTTTTTTGTGCGTGTTGTTGATGGGTTTTGGTTTTTTCCTTTAAATATCAAGTTGTCCTGGGAGTGTATTAAAAATATACCGGTAATACTGACGGTATGTCTGCTAAGAAGAAAACACAACACCTAAACACTATCTTGCATTTCAGTGGATTACTGTCTTCTTTGACTCTGGGATTCAATATTAGTGGTTACAGGATATTTGTGGACTGTCCTTCAAAAAGCACCCCCTAAATGCTATTAATTATTCCTCCAATAAATTTGAAGATTCTTGCCATCTGATACTGAGTATCACAGATTAGTCCAAAGCATAACTTTTCACTTTAAAACAGGCATAGATTATTTTAACTTCACACTGCAGTATACTAAGTCACTTCCAATTACTATTGAGACTTAAAGAAAACCTTTGTATATTACAGTAAAACCAAAATATTTTTGTTCACAAGAGAAARCTTTACCTCACCTCGTCAGAAACGCCTCTATTTTGCAACAGAGTAAGAACACTTTATTTGCAAGCAACTTGGACATGTGGTATTTCCAACTGCCAGTCCCAAAGTCTGCAATAATAAACCAGTCAGGAATCCATTRGAACTAGTTTATTTAGAACTAGCTTGCAGTTCATAAATAGCTACTGCTTCCTCCAGACTTGTGACAAAGAAGTTTCACARTAAGCTCCTCTGGTTTTGGCAGGTTTAAGAAGCACCCCCAAAGTCACTGCTGAGAACAAACTCTGCACTAGATCTCAATCATTATTTTTTTTTGCACTAGAGAAAGGCATAAACTGAACTCCAGTGAAAACTGGCCAAATGAGAATAAGATATGGGATGCAAGCAAATTGCATGCTTTTCTACTCAGTTTTTTCCAGTTCAGATGCATCATTCAAACACTTAGAAGTTAASTTTTAGATGAGGGGTGTAAAATTTTCCATCAAATAAATACTTCGGGGAGATAGTTTTATTTTCTTCCACTCATGTGTGCATGGGGTTCATATCAGATATATATAYACACACAATATTATCATAACAATGCAGCATGATTAGTCATGGCCTCCAAACCAATGTTTACAGTAAAGAAATGGAAACCTGTATATCCCTCCGATTACCATTACCTTAAAGTTCACGTGGTTAGGAAGTGTCTTAAAGCCCTCAACCCACAARCTGTAAGTTGTAAGTAATGGGCCTCTTCAATTCTGTGATCCACAAATTCAACTACAAACCAATCATGTGGTTTGGATTGGAAAACTATGGTTAGGTGCTAGAGATACAAATCAGACAACGTTCACCTAGTCCCTATTTTAGTGAAGACACTCAACTTATGAGGTATTTCAAACAGTGCAAAGTGCCCTCTCCAACTTTCCACAACTATGAATTCAGGTTACCCTGCTTGTCCAGCTTCAACAAAGGACTGAATTTTCGGTGCAGGAAAATAAAATGTAAAAAAAAGTAATAAAAAGAAACTGGGAAAAGGAATAAAACATGCAAGAAGATTCTCAAAGCCCAAACACTTTTAGCCCTGAGCAGTTTAAAGAAAGTGAAGGCAGATGAGTAGAAGRAAAGTTGGCTGCTTTCTTAGAGTCAAGGCCATGTTTACATGAAGCAATAAAAGAAAACTAATCCCTACAAAAGGGGTACTGCTTCATTTTTCCCAGCCCCTCTTATTTTAGAAGTTTCACAGATCCAGGAATATGGTGGCTTGCAGCTGGAGAAGCTGTCATTGAACATTGAAAGCAGGCTTTAATTGTCAATTAGTTTCTTGGCTCTGATGTTGGCTTGCTCAATGCGTTCCCTGTTTGTATCAGCCTGAAAGACAGAAAGTCATAGGTCATTTGCAGACTTGATGCAAAGCAATAATATGAACTTCTGAATTGCAAGGTATCATCACTGTGGTACACAGAAAGGGAGCAACYTATATATGCTGGAAATAATACTTTTTCCCCTAGACAGCATAGGCTATCMATTTTGGCAGAAACAAAACCATAAGAAATAGATTTTACTCTTCAGCTGAATTCTGAAATATTGTAGCTTGCCTCAGCTTGTCAGGACACATGTTAACAAAACAATGGAATAAAAAATTCTCTCCCAGTGTTAAGACATCTTAAGGACCTCTGCAGAGCAACAAGGTTGCTCTGAACTAGAAGTGACAGTCAAAACCAGGCATATGGGCATAAAGTCAGATTTATTTTGCTTAGGGATTTGCACTAGTTCTCATTCACACACTCTTCAATGTCCTAGTGTTATAACGATATGGTATTTGTAAGAAAAAGCACTAGATTTTATTATTKTTTTATTTACTGTARTAAAGCATCAAGAGCCATGTCACAGGATCTAGGTTGAACAAGTGTCAAAATACAGTCTTACTGAAAGGTATGATAAGGAGTTTATAAATGATTCCCCAAGTATCCAGTGTGCAGTGARGAATGTGTAGGAAGCATAAGCACAAAACTAGCAATTAATTATCTGTGTTTTACTGTATATTTATTGGAATGACTACTTTTTGAGAATTCCAGAAGAGCCTTGCTATTGTTMAAATACCTATTCCCTACCACAAGAAAAAAAAAAATTCTGTGAGCAACAATCCCCCAGGTATACCTCCAATAAATGTTTGTCCTTTGATCCCATGAAGCTKATTAGTTTTCAGAGTAAGTAGTAATCTGTGTTGTGTATTTAGGTTTTCTGACAATCGTGTACCCTATGTGTATCAAGGTATACCTCTTGTTCAAATTACTGCAAGCTGAAGGGTGGTATAACCTTACTACACATTTACTACAAATACAGAAAGGACAGTGAGCACATTGCTAATAACTGCTCAGTTACAACCTCTAAGCTGAAAGCAGAGAACATCTTTGACACTTACCTTAACATTTATCCGGTCTATTTGCTTRTTCTGGGCATCAATCTCATTGCCCATATCCAAGGCCATGTTTTTCAAATTCCCAAGAATGTTTCCAACTTGAGCAAGATTTTCATCCATTTCATCTTCTCTGGCATCATTTGTTATCCTGCTCAAATAATTAAGACAATGTTTCAAGAATCAAAAACTTACTTTTCTCTTGCCCAGATTTACTCCAGTAGAACTTGCTTGTTGAACAATGCATTCAATCCAAGGTAYGTTTTTCCCCTTTTACAACCCCCTGTATTCCAAGCAAGCATCCACCAAAAAGAGTGCTAAGCTAGCCACTACTACAGAAATAGCCTCAAAAATTAAAATAGTTACCAGAAGTTTAAGACATAAGTTTCTGTCAAATGTACTTTATGACAGTAATAGGCCTTGATATTTTTAACAGTCCCCTCAATAACTGAGTACTAAGGCCTATAGTTCTCACATCCAGAAACAGACTGACAATATCAGCACCATGTAAAAAAACAGAAGTGCAAGATGAGCAATACAATACTGAAAACATAGGTGGCTGCCATCTCCTCTCCAAGCAGTAATAATTCCTCCAAATGATATTCAAAAACTACTATAATTAAGTGAAGCAACTTCACCTAAAATGCATTTGAAAGAAGCTGACAAGTGACAGGATTTCAGTATTTGAGACTGACAAATATAAACTAGCAAACCTTGTAATATATCCACCACTTGGTCCTCCAGAAGTCTGAGGCTGCTGCCGATTTAGACTTCTTGGTTGCATAGATATCACCTGATCTGCAGAGTTTTCCGTTCCATCTCCCCAGGTTGATCTGTACGCTTTGCTGGCCTCGAAGTTCTTTGTCCTGCTCCATAAAAATAAAAGATCTAAACCACTACATCAGAAATATGGCTTCCTGAATGAAGTTCACTATTAAGCTAGGATTTTCAGAAACATTTGTCTTGTGCCCAAAAGAGATGAAATTTTGTACAGATAAAGCCTTGTCTATATAATACAATTTCTTAYATCTTGATAGTACAAACACAACTGAATTACTGTAAGGACAGTGATTACCTTTGGTCTTAAGCTTTAATACAATAACACTGATTTCCTTAAAGCAATACTTCACCAGAAGACAGAAGCTTATGACAGTAACAGGAAAGTTTAMCCTGTCATACAATACAGTTGCACTTAGGAGTTTATCTAGAGTCATAATTAGTTACCTTTCAGGAAGAAATGAGGATGAAAGCAAAAACTCCCTCAAACAAACAGCTATATTATGCAAGAAAACCATTAATTGATACTATTTTTTTATCAAACATAAAAAAAAATTACTTGACAACATAAAAGATTTGTGTTTCTCATGTTAACTTTGATTATGAAATAACAATATCAYGTTTAAATAGCTCCTTAATTCTGAAATTCAATTGTACTAATTCCATTATATCAACAAACCAATTTACCATTACACTTTAACCATGTAATTCATTGGAGAAAAAAAAAAAAACAAAGAAACCACACTGACACAAAGCAATCTCAAGAATCACTGAGCCACAAAAGCAAGAGTGGAAGAAAACCTAACAAAATAAATTTATCTAAATTGGAGTCCGTTCTCATGAACCCTAAAAACAACCTATTTTGTGAATATTCTTATGTTCACCTTGCTTTGTGGCATTTCCAGSTTTAAGCCAGACAATCCAGACCCCACTGCCATTTTTCTGCTTCTTTAAATGCCTGTGAAGGGAGATCTGTAACATCTTTCAGTACATCTAACTTGGCAATTACAAGCAGTAGATTTCTAGAGATGCAGTGCCTTTCAGTAGTCCAAATGTTACATGCTKGAAGAGTAGTGAAATTAGCTGCAATGAAGAAATATTCCCCTCACTCTACTGGTGTTCATGTATTCAGTATRGGAAATTATACTTCATAGGTCAGACCTTCAAAAAGTAATCTAGTATGAATATATCTAGGGGAAAAATGGAGTAATTTCTCAGTTCATAATGGAAATGTCACACCCAACCGAACAACTCTAAAGAAACCTCAACTAGTCAATTCTAGCTCCTTGTACATACAAAGGCTTAAAGATCTCTTCAGATTTACTGCAACTAGATTGAYTATATATTAATCTCATTTATACTAAAGCCATAACAGCAAGAGATCTTTTTATGATTTTCYTCTGGAGAAGCAAAGTCTTGGGTGCCAGAGGCAACTGTGAGGACTTTATTAACAAAAAACAAGCGACCTGAAGACTACTTGCACATGTGAAGTAGACAGCTAGAAACAGAATTATATTTCAAAGTAAGCACAGTTAAGAAGAAAACTTCTCACCATCTGTTTTTAAATGCTGTTTTTCTAATTACTATACATTCACATTTCTCAATTAGGCAATTTATACAACCTGTTAAACCAGCAAGGGCTCAAGTAGTTGTTCATCATTTCCACCAGCTAATAATACCCTGTGTAGTAATGGATATTTTCTRTTCACATCAGTATTACAAAAAAATCACAGTCACAAGGAGAACTACAGACATGCAGACAGACATCATGCACATGCAAGCACAAATGCAACAGAAACATCACTTCAGACAGCTGGTTAAATATGCATCTGCACTACTATGACTRACCTTGTCCTAAAATCCACTTTCACCAGTTTAAGTGAATACAGCTTCTTATCCTAGTCTTCATTTTTAGAAAGCAAACATCAATGTTAGGAGAGAATGGAGAAGAAAGAATAGTAAAGATCAACGAAAAGGTAAATTGTCATTAGTACATAGACTGTATAACAGAATTGCCAGTATTTATAAAAGCTTTGTGTAAGCACTAAACAACCTAAGCCTAGGAGAAATTAAAAACTGAATACCTCAGCATGTGTTCTGATTTAGCGTTATGCTTTTATGAAAAAAATTCAAAGGTGCAGAGGTAAGTGGTTGACAAATAAATCTGACATTGACAAAAATGTTGGTGTACCAGTAAATATATGAGACTCACTGTTTCATCTTCTTTGCCGTCCTCTACTTACCCATTTTTTTTCTCTGTACATTACTGCCCAGTTAGGTACACAACTATTTCCATTCTTGTTATCTGTGTACTTGGAGGACCACAAGAGTTCACARATTTTGAGCTTGCTCAGTGTCAATAAGCTGCTTAGCTTCAGTGAAATAAGACTACCAACCACAGAAAACAAAGACTGARTGTGTCAAAATGCTCTAAGTCCACCAGCTTGATCCAACCAATATAGAGCAATAAGCACACTTATCCACAGGTCAGGACAGAACTATCTTCGTTTTCAAGGGACTAAAACGCCAAGATTTTCAGCATTAGAAGCTATATTCATATCTCTAAGTGATCCTCAAAGTACTATTCTGTTGGTTAAATCGACTCAGCTACGCCAAGGAAATTTTGCCTAAACTTCTGCTACCTCTCTATCAAATGGTAAGATTTTTTTTYGTCATGCTAAAAAGCAAAAAAGCAGCAAATACACACACTATTCACTTCAGTCACTACATTCAATTCATGTCTCCTTCATTTGGAAGGGCTATGATCACATTCAATTCACACAAACAATTTGATACTTTACTGCTTAAAGGTAAAGCTAGGACACCATGAAAAACAATTCTAATCATTGTTCAGGCTGTTAACTTGTTTARAAGTAAAAATCAAGTGCCATACTAAAGATTACATTACTCAACTGACTTGGATATGGCAGCCATAACACTGAGATACTGTGAAGCAGGTCTGAAAGAACCCAAGTCACTAAGGAAAAGATTAAAGCTTTAACACCAGTGTCTATTCTGTTCTCCTACTACCACCCTCCCTAAAGCATGAATATTTTTCAAATGCTTAGAGAACCAATACTAATTTTCTTCTCCAAAACATAAGCTGTCTTGCTTTAAAATTAGTACAAAAGTACTTTTGTCAAAAAAATATTTTTKGAATCAAATTTCTAACAGACAGGCACTTACACATAGCTATTTGCAGCCCAGCCTGCTCTCATCTGCATGGACATTGATAGTCTTCTACTAAATAGAAGCTTTAAGAAGATTGGGACACAATTGTGCAGGATATTATATAGCAGCTATGCATACAGTAAAAGGGGGACAATATATGGTTAGATACAAGTAAGTTTCAGTTAATCTCATACAACTTTAAAAGAATGCAGCTCTACAAATCAAACAATCAATCAACTTTGCTAGAGAYTGAAAAATGCTCAATCAGCTCTTTTATCAGTGAATGTCTCCTGGTACAGTAGCTATTGGGAACTTTGTGGAACTCCAATCCCAAGTACCACTATAACTGACCTGTTACAAGGACAGACACAGAGACCACAACATTTGTTGAGCTCTGTCAGTGTCTTCTCAGCTTCTCTCATGTCCTTATTTATCTGGTCCATGCCTTCTTCTATTCGATTTAGTTGTTCTAGAAGAGAAACAAGTAACTTGACTAAACATGTATAGGGGGAAGGTGGGGGTGGGGAAAATCAACATTTCTTTCAATCAAGAACAAGTTTCTCTTCTATCTTTATACCAAAACTAATGAATTTTTTCTTCCTTGCCTTCTATGATTTTTCTTTTTAAATTAAGAAAGATATTCAATGAGAGGTYTTGCTTACTACATTTCAAATATTTTCTCTATCCTTAGACCAGCATTTCTGTTGCTACTTTTAGAATAAAKGCAGATAGTCATATTTATGTGCTAATGGAAAGAAGTAGCTTCTGTAGCAGAGCTGTATTACATTGTAACTATCATTATCTTTCAACTTCTTTAAAACTTCAACACTACAAACTGACACAGGAACAACCAACTAGGAAATCTCATTTTCACGTAAGTAGTCTTTAATAATAAGCCTTTACTTTGAGCAACAACTCTTGTATGATAATCCTTTTCTCATCCTGATTACATTCTAATATTTATTTTTAGTGTTAGGGAAGAACTTACCTCCTTGTTCATCCAGCATGGTAATAGTTTTGATGCCAACATCCTGGGACTGCAGAAAAAAAATTTAGTTGCAGATATAAAATGAGAGTACAGTGCAAAATCAGAAGRTCTGGATAGTAAATTTAATAATCTAACCAAGTTTTATTATAAAACACTGTATTAGAAATAACTTCTGTAGTAAAGCTATYGTAACTCTTAAAACCTATGTTAAGCTTATAAGCATCTCACCTGTTACACGTCTCAATTAGCAGGTTTTTATGGCATTTTTGTGAGGATTTTTTTTTTTTTTTACATTACAACGAGATGATAAAATGTATTGTAATACTCTGATTGAACAGTGACAATGCCTGGCCAGAAAAGTAAACCTAGCTGTGCTTCATTTTGAGAAGTGGCATTTGGTTCATTCTTTATCCCTACATCCTTCAAAAGGGTTGACAAGGCCTTTAGTCCTGGAAGCCAGAATGAAAGAAAACAAAACAGTCTGAAAAACCATTCCTAGGCATGCAGCAGTGAGGAATATACTACCAACAACAAAAGAGCTCTTTTCTGGCTCCAAGTTTTGGATCTAGCATGCAAGTTGCACCCATGTTTTACTGTAAACTGGAAGCATAGAATGAATCACCAAATTACAGTTCCAAGAGAAATTAYGTTGGCTCATGACATGTACTTAACATTTGTGTTTGAGAAGTATTCATCAGGCTACGGTGATTGAAATGCCTCACTGGCAACTACCATCTTCAGCAAGCCATAGCAGCACAGAGCAGCAGATTCCTCATATAAGCTCACTGTGACAAAGTGATTTTAAACAGTTAACATGTTGCTTTCTAAACTTCATAAATCAAAAGCTTTTCCTTACCTCAATGGCCAAGCCAAGAATCCTCCTTGTGCTTTCCAAAGACTACAAAGAGAATTTTAAAATGAGTGCATTAATTACTTATATACATATCAGTATCTGAAAGTCTTCTTTACCAGCTCATTGTAGCAAGRCAATAGTTTATAAAGGTTCATCACCCTGTCTATATTTTATACATGCTACACTGTCAATAGTGGCAGCATATTAGTTTTTCTTGGTTTTTAGTCCTTGCTGTTATTTTGCTTATTCCATTGGAAAGTAACTGTAAAAGATGACATATTCAAATGAATTTTAGTTAAATAAGAAAGCCATGAAGCATCAATATGATTAACAATGCTGTAGGTACCCAAACTGCATTGTGTCAGTAATCAGAATGGGTGATCACTACTCAGTTAAGTAAGTGAGTTTAAAATTCCAAAGCTTAAATTCATTCTTATTTTTAGGCGTAGTCTTCACTCCAGTATTTACCAAGTAAAGTGAAAATTTAAAATATTCAGCTATAACCTTGCAGAATCATTACCCTAATCCATCTTTATTTTTAAAAGATATTCTAATTTTGTCAGACAAGTACTGTAATCCCAAACTTCTTCTGATAGTATTTACCTCATCAGTGACCTGGTTGGCCCTCAGCTGAATTTCTTCAGGTGATAGCTCATCCATGATGAGGAAATATTACTTGTAAGAATCACGTTAAAGAGAACTTTCCCCCTGTAATAAGAGATACTAAGTAAGCATCAGAATTATCCTTTCATCAGTATTTTGAGTCGAATCTAGAAGATAGTTCAAACAATAAGAGCCTATATATTTCATTCTGCTTAGCAAAATATCTTGCTAGGACTAGAAGACACTAAAGTAATTATTCAGCTGATATGATCTACCTGAGGAGCTAAAAGAAATACACGACCAAGCAGTATACTAAATAGTTTTCTTTCAAAAATTTGGCATCCTAAAYACTTTGGAAAAAGTTCTATTGTTARTTAGATAAAAATCAGGAAATGAGATCTTAAAATAAYAAGCTTCTCCATTCCAGAAAAACACATCTCGTTTACCCAATAATCTAGAAATAAATTCATTGAGACTAACATAAACTTWAAATATTCTTTCCATTTCTATGCAGAATTTCAATAGTCAGAAGAAGGGGTAACATTTTCACAAATTAAACACCACCTAAAATGATCCCAGTAACACTCTAGAGATAGTTGCTATTTTATGGGTAATTGCTCAAATGCAAAAGGATCCACAAAYGTTTTAACTGGTATGTCTGCAATGGTAGCAAAGGTTTTCCAATCCACTTTTCCCATAAYAATTACAGGGTTATAACTGAAGTCCCACCATGCCACAAATACCTTTTACTGTAAACCGAAGATATATATTTTGCCTACAGATACAAGTGAAAAAGCAATCCYATCAATAAGTGTATTCCTATCAGAAACAGGTGTTTCAGAGCTAAGAATCTGCATTTTTGTTGGAGGAATGGTAATAAAGCCAGTACTCCTAGCAATGGGAAAACASAGCTTGCAGGCTATACATGGATTTAATGAGATAGCACCTAAATTGAGAAATAAGAAGACACTTTTCCCCAAAGAATTTTCCCTCTAAACTTGAAATTAATTCTTGATCTTTCACTTGAGTAGCTCACAATTAAGTTCATGTTACTCATGGATCTAATTCCAAGCATCCTGCTTGACTGGATCCATTTTTTCCTAAAAGATCAGTATTTTAGAATATATAACATAAGTAACTGCTCCTAGGAGGGTAAATTTATGCAGATTCGCCCAGCTGTTACCTCACAGCTCTTCACAGGAAGTATACATAACTTGAAAGGTGAACTGAAATCAGGACACCTAAATCCCTTACAGCTGAAGTACTTCAGGATTTAAAGAATATTTCAGTACGTTAGGYCTTTCGCATGTAGCAAAACCTGAGACTCTAGATCTAGATTTTTCTAGAGCAGATGTCAATACAATTTAGTTTCTGCTATCATAAAAAAGTAATTAAAAAACAAATCAAGATATTCTCACACAAGGCCTCTAAACAGCTCTGTTTGCAGTAGTCCAATTTCAGTGTATAATCAGTGAATTATCTTTTAATTCACAGGCTTAAGCTCCTTTAATGAGGTTTATTTCAGGCAGTTCCAGCTTTGAATTTGGGAATRCCCTTCAAGTTGATTTATACAGTTAAGGACCAGGAAACCTGGGACAGGGAGGAAAGTACCTATTTTCAYTGAATTAGATTAAGCAAAGGAAAATGACATCAAGCTGGTTCTTTGGATGAAGATCTCACATTCACTTAATATCCAGAAACTGCACRGTATTTCAATTATATATTCAGTTGTACTGAACAAGCAGTATCTCGATTACTGTGATTGTTGCAGGCTTGGCAGCCTTTCCCCGCCTTGGGTACCACCAATCAAGTACTGTTGAAGATATGCGCCATATAACACATCTCATCTTGGACATGGAAGTGAGTATCACATCCCCACCCTATAACAACTTCTCAGGAATCCCACTGAAATTGCAGAACAAAGCTAGACATGCAGCTGTTTTGCTAGAGAAACCTGGAGATTTATTTTTCAGAAACCCGGTGTTCTGCTTCCCCTTGCAGCTATGGCTTAGACTATGCAGAAGTTCACATACCAGCATAAGCACAACTGCAGGCTGTACAATGCAACCCTAACTTAGAAGCTGTTGAGTTACCCAAGAGACATATTGTAGCCAATGATACACAACACAACAGTTTCTTTGGCTTTTGGGGTGAAGGCACGTGGCAACAGTATTTTTAAACATACATAAGAAGGATTTGTTTATAAAAGTCTTTAAAGGGTAATAAGACTTATCTTTCAACCGTTGCTTGCAAATATATTCATTATACTACTGGCTTCATGTCAAGGAAGCACCCAAAATCTGAAGAAAGAACATATACCTTTTATCAGAAACCGAGTTTCGTGTTTTATTCAATATTGCCAGAATGTTGTCCTATACTACTAGAACAAGTTCATAGAGAAACCATTGAAAAACAAGCCAGCAGCGAGACTGCAAAAAGGAGAAGAAAGTCGACAGCTCCCAAACTAGGAATACYAGGTAATGCAGTTTGGAATGTAACTTTGTGAAGTTATGAATTAACTTTGGACTGTCATAAATTAACTTCAGGACTGAAGCTCACACATATGCTACTAATGTAAACCATGGGCTTATCAACTGTGCTTTTATTAATAAAATCCTATGAAAAATGCCATGTGAAATAYGAAGAGACACAGCAATCACATGAAGAGGTACTACATGTACTATAAGCTATCAAACTATTCCCCCTCCACTTTGTTCTATTCATGTTAGGTGACAAAGGAATGAGCAATTCACCTCAGATACAAGTAAGACAGCAGTAACACACTAAACCTAAGGCATCTGGTTACATCTGACACCACACAATGGCTTGAAAACACAAGTATTTGCCACCAAATCACAGAATAGGTCAGGTTGGAAGAGACCACAAGTGGGTCATTTGGTCCAACCTCTCTGCTCAAGCATGGTCATCATAAAGAACATGGCACAGTATTTCATCCATATGGTACATGAATGAGGGAGACTCCTCARCCTCTCTGGCAACTGTTCCAGAGCTCAGTCAACCACAGAGTAAAGAAGCTTTTCCTCATGTTTAGGTGGAACTTCCTGTGCATCATTTTCTGCCTTTTGCCTTGTGTCCCTGTTGCTTGGCACCACCGGGCACAGCCTGGCTCCATCCTCTGACACCCTTCCTTCACATGCTGATAGACATTGATGAGGTCACTGAGGTCACCTCTCAGTTGTCTCTTTTCAAGGCTGAACAGGCCCAGCTTGCTCAGCCTTTCCTCCTAAGAGATGCTCCAGTTCCTTAATCATCTTTGTAGCCCTTTGCTGGACCCACTCAGGAGCTCCATGTCCCTCTGGTACTGAGGAGCCCAGAACTGGACACTGCACTCCAGATGAGGCTCACCAGGGCTGAGTAGAGGGGCAGGATCACTGGACCTGCTGGCAATGCTCTCCCTACTGCATCCCAAGATACCACAAGGCACTGCTGGCTCGTGGAGAGCTCGTTGCCCACCAGGACCCCCAGGTCCCTCCTGGCAGAGCTGCTCTGCAGCAGGTGCTGGTGCTCCCCCAGCCCTGCTGGTGCCTGGGATTGTTATTCCCCAGGTGCAGGACCCTGAACTTGCTTTTGTTGAATTTCAGAGAGTTCTTCTCTGCCCATCTCTCCAACCAGTTGAGGTTCTCCCGAAGGGCTGCACAGCCCTCTGGAGCATTGGCTGCTCCTCCCAGCTTTGTGTCATCAGCAAACCAGTTCCAACAGCTGACAGACAGGCTTTGTGTTCCCCTAGCTTGCTCATATCTTCCTGAATAGCTGCACTGCCAGCCAGCAAGAAGTTCTGTAGAAACACACAGCATTCCTCCCCCTTTCTCCCCAAATCCATAGAATTTGATCTCAAAAYTGTTTATAAATTGACCCAACAATGATGAAATCCAACTCCAAGATGAAGAAAAAAAACCCATCTAACACTGCAGACACAGAGGGAAAAAAAGTTACTACCAGAATTCCTCAAAGCTGAGGTATGCATATGCTTATCTTCTGATGCTCATATTTGGACACCTGTACACTGCAGTGTTTTGTCTCTTGTGAAATGAAACCATAATTTAAAATGRTGCCTCATGTAATTGCCAGGATAAATGATCTATGTGGGAGTAAGCTAAGTAAAACCATTCTATAGAATACTTGGTTAAGAGAAATGCTCTGACAATCTTCTGTCATGGACAATAGGTTCAGCTATTTGCTGATCCTTTCCAATAATATCTCTAAGTCTTATGTCACTGGAAAGTGGCAGAACCTTTCTTTCTTCCTCTAGACTTCCCAGGAAACTTACCCACCTTCACTTTTCAGACATGGCCATTAGAGTTATGCAAAAACAAGACATATTAAGATTTCCTCCTTAAGACAGGCATAAGAAAGCATGCTCTTTGAATTATTTTGATTATAATGTTTGTTTAAAGTTGAATATCAAGCCAAATGCATTAGAATCAAAAAAAGCATAGTTTTATTCCTATTAGTTTGTATCATTGCTTTTGCAGGCACAGACACAACATACACAGTAGCTCTGCAGAGGCAGTTAGTGCCATAAAGCAGAAGAGAAAAAGGCATTCCCTAGGCAATAAAGACTTCTCACTACACAACAGCTTTAAACATTAAAAAAGCACCAAACAGTAAGTTAAAACAAACAAAACATTTCCAAAACAGGCTGTTTCTGAAGATGTAAATGCACACTTGGTAGTTGCAGGCCTAATTGGAATAGCTGAACATAGCAGGTGCCTGTTGTGCAAGATCTCTCTAATACCCAAGATGAGGCCATTTGTATTGAATAACTCAGCTGTTCCAATAGAACACAGTACACACACATAAAGAAAGGATACTCATAASCCCATCTTGCTGTCTAGGAATCATAAAGCTCCTTTGAGGTATCCAGCTCTTATGTTAAGAGAATATGATAAWATTATTTTATACCCAAGGCATTAAGATTACTCAATGAAGACAAAATATGCAGAGAGAAAATGCCTAATATGGCTAAACTGTACTAGACATATATTTCTGTTATAATAACATTTGCTAAGGCAAGCATTTATTTTAATATCGATGTTCAATGTCTATTTTCTTTGCTTTCCTTCTCCTACCATTTAAAAAATCATAGCCACAAAATAACCAAAGTGAAAAAARGACAACAGCCTACAAAGATATTTCATAATTATAACAATATTCTGCTATTTTAGTTTATTTTCTTTCTTTTAGTTTCTTTTCTTTCTTTAAACAAGAATCCAATGTGCCTAAATGCAAAGCAGTACTCCTTTAAAGAAGGATGTGATGTCAGCTGTATTTACTTTTTGTTATCATACACTTTTCTGCAGTATTTGCTCAGTTAAACACATTTCAGTACAATTCCCCTTCTGCCCCTTTCAAAGGAAGGGCTGGTACCTACAGAGTATGCAAAACTAAACTTGCTACAAATATGTATTTTCTTGAAGTCACTGGGCTCATTAAACTTTTCTACTAGGAAACAGACAACAACATTCATTATCTTAACCAGCACTATCTTAWAAAAAGGAAGATTCATTGAGAAACCAGATCAGCAAAGAAATAAAAGCATGGCCTACAAATCAAAAGAACCTGATTTTTATTGCCATGCTTTATTTTGGAGACTGTGGGGGCAGAAAGAGTTCTTTGAAATTCCAATTCCAATCTAAAGCTTTAGATCTCTTCCCAAGACTACCCATGTCGGGCTAAGCTCAGTAAATTCACCACTATAACACATATCCACACTATGATATTGCTGCCCAAGCCASTTAAGGATGGATTAGGCTTAAGTTACTTCTATCTCTTGAACAATAGGAAACAAACTTATGTCTGCACAACATTTTTTCCACTTCTTACTATCCCTTTGGTCATGGCTCCAAAAACCCTGAAAACCTTTCAATTCACTCTCCTACGTGAAGTTGTTAGGCTGGAAAGGACTGAGATAAATAAAAAGCAAAGGTGATTTTACAGAACTGTTTAAAAATTCAAGATGTTTCTTGCAAAAGGATGAGGGACATGACAAGCACTTTTGGGCTGATTCTGACATGGTGCCTGACACGTTCAAAGCATCACTGGGTTAGAGATCTTAATTTTGTTAATCAACATTCATAGAGCAGCAGAAGCATTTTAGCGGATTCTTTGTCTATCTTGAAAAAACTGGACAGACTGACGTGAGCTACACCTACGTCTCTATTAGCAGTAGGGTGATCCTGTGAGATTGTAGGGCCAATTTTTGCTTGGGAAAAGCACTGCTCACAKTGCTGCATTTGAGGTGGATCAGTCAGTCACAAGCACTGAGCTCGGTCCCAACCCCAGTTACTTAACTGAGAGCTAACATCTGGCAAGCCAGARCCTTCATAGTGCAGTGGGAGCAAATTCAGTGTTAGTAATACCCACACTGACGTACTGTCTGCATGTACATGTCCCCAACTTTAAATATCTGCTTGTGATCAGAAAACCAWGGAAGTATCACTTCATCCAACAGCAGTTCACTTGGCTGGGTTTCCTGACAYATTAAAAACTTTTAAGGGGAAAAAATGAGGCATTTGAATAGACAGACCCTTGAGATCAAAACACTGTTGTATGCAACAACATAGTCACCTTTGCCACTCACCTTCCCAGAGCACACTGAAAAAAATTAACATGAAATCTTTTTATTGTCTCTCTCATTAGCCTAAGATGCTCCACTGCACCACTAAGGGTTCTTCTTACAAGTGTTTTCATTTAGAATTACTTACCAACGGGAAGCCAACTATTTATGCCAAATCATTCAGTCTCCAATGTAAACAAGTTTTAAAAGCCATTACAACAGAGATATTGCACAGTATTTTCAAGATTTTTTTTCAATACCAATAATCTTAGGAGATTTTTAAGACATTTCCATGGTAATGAAAAGTATACTAGGCAAGTTACATGCTTTTGAATATGCTTTTCTTCAGCACTTAGCTGAGAATCAATTTTAATGCCTATTAGCTCTAGGAAGAGAGGAAACTTAATTCCTTGCTCTATGACAGTCACAGCACATTAAGGCTGTGCTGTTTGAACTACTTGAAACCCTTACTGATCTTTATGAATTTAAATAACCTGCAGGGTACCACAAGGCCTAATACAGTGCTTGTTCAACTCCAATTACACTGTCCATATCTGGACAGGGAGGAGCTGACAAAAGGGACAAGTTTTCTTAAATCAGACAGATCTACTTGCACCAGACCAACAAATTGTTTTGATTGCTGGCACTTTCACAAACACACCTTGAATAAGATTTTTGTCCTACATCTCTGGTTGACAAGCAGCAGTTTTGTGCCTCTGACAGGCTGAATGCTTATCAGAAATTTGTCATATATCCACCACATTTGCTACGTATCACAAACTAATTCCTTAATGACTATCTAAAAATCCTCTATTTGTACCTACCCCTTTTGTTATGAAGTTATGCTTTTAATCAGTATCACAAACTTTCCCTCCTTCCYTAATTTACAAGTTATCAGTGAAAGAGGAAGAGAATAGCTACTATACAGAACATCTACAAATATGATTGAGAAATACAGTCTATGCCTTCTTACCACAAAGATGGGAACTAGATGACGACACAACCCTGCTGTTGCAGCAACTGACTGAAAGCCACTATCTCATGAGCTGTATTTTTAGCTGTCAGTGAAYTGGTACAGCCTCAGGTGATCACGGATGCCCTCAGTTCCTACTCTTGTAAAGGGAGCTGTTGCCTTTCCTAAAAGATGGAAGAATTCATGAAACAATATTCTTTAAAATGTGAATGTTATTTATGAATTTTCTGTGCATGCCTGCAAAGGTCAAAAATTACAGTTTATTAAATAGCTTTGTRTCAAGGGTTGATTTTTTTTTTCTCTCAGCTTCTTCATATCACTAATATAGAAGAAGCAGGTTTTTTAAAACCCTTCCTTAACACAAACCAGCTATCCTAATTGCTAGTTAGCTGAAATTCAGCCTAACTAATGCAGGGTGGCACMAGGTATCAGCACCAGAATGTACTCCTCCACATAGTTATGTCTACAASATAAATTAACAAAGCATCTGTGACCCTGGAGGAAGAGGCCAGGGCCCATGACCAAGACACTACTCTGCATGCTTCCTGCTTTCTCTTATCAGTTTCCTGAACACACTGCACAAAAGCGATAGCACAAAGAATAGGCACTACCAATGCCACCTCCTCTGTGCAGTGTGTTCAGTTCCATACTCGTCTCAACAATTCATTTTGAGAAAAAGCCTCATGAAACCTCCTCCATATCAGATACTGGCCAATACAAACTCACAGCCAAACTTTGATGTACTTACAGATAGTAACAGATTCCATTTCTCCTAATGACACAAACTATGCTATACAGTAACCTACCTCAAAAACTGCAGAGCAGAGGAGCCCAGGCATACAGACAGCAATAAAGTGCTCAATTCGATCAAGCAAGCAGGCAACAGAAATCACAAGAGSTTTTTCCTTTGTCCCTAAACAACTCCTTACACAGCTGGTCCCTCTACAGCACAGAATGAGGTTTGTTTATGAAAGGGAAGTAAAGCAACACCCTTAGTTCCGAACACTGACCCTCTAGTGTTCTTTTTAAAGGAACAAAAAAAAAGAAAAAGTTACGCAAATAGAGAGGGGGCAAAAGAAATTCCCGAAGTTCCTTTAGGTCGTTTACTTAGTGTCAAGTCATGTGCTGACTTCACATTGTGTGAAACAGAAAGTGAAAAAAAAAAGGAAAAAAAAGTTAAAAATACAGCTGACTCTTCAGTACCTTCCCAGAGGGAACATCGAGACATACAGGTAAGAAAAGAACAAAAGCAATTCGATGCTTACTGTTTTCTAAATACCCCTAACAGCACCTTACAGATTAGTCGAAAGGCAGCAAGACACAATATGTAAGTTTAAGAACACGCACCAAAAGGTGGATTTTCTTCGGTGTCCTACCAACAGCTCAATGCACGAGCTCTCACCAAGCAAATAAAAAGCACCTGGACRCGACGCTGCCGTGTCCAGTAGGGTCGAGCTCACTAGGCCTCCCCGCGCCCCGGGGGGCAGGCGCAGCCCACAGCTAACAGGGGGCTCGTAGGGCCCGGGGCCAGACCGAGCGCCCCGCCCGCCGCGATTCCCCGCGCAGCCGATGTAGAGCGGCAACCACASGGGCAGCACGGCCGGACCGGRCCGGGCCGGGCCCGCCGCACCCCACGGAAGCCCCCGTCAGCCCCAGCCCGCCCCGCACAGGGCGCTACGCGGCAGGGAGGACGCGGACCGGATCCGCCAGCCTGCCACCCCAGCCGGGGCGCTGCAAACTGACAAAGCCCAACCCGTCACACACCTACCAGCACCGCGACCGCCGCTCCCTTTCGCTGGACCGGACCGGACCGGACCGCCCCTTTAAGCTCCCATGTCCCGCCCGTCCCCACGGCCGAACGCGGCCCGAGCGCGTCACCGCCGCCCCCGGAAGCGGGAGCCGGCCACGCCCCACCCTTCCGCCACTCCCAATATGGCGGCGGAAAGGCACCGCCCCCGGCGCCCTCACGYGGCAGACGCGTGCGGCTTGTGTACACCCAATATGGCGCCGCGCGAAGGTCGGTGCGCATGCGCCGGCTTCCCACCGCCTTGGGGACGATGGTGCGGCGTGCGCGGGGTGTGAGTGAGGGTGTCAGTGTGGGGTGTGAGTGAGGGTGTCAGTGTGGGGTGTGAGTGCGGGTGTCAGTGTGGGGTGTGAGTGAGGGTGTCAGTGTGGGGTGCGAGTGCGGGTGTCAGTGCCGGGTGTGAGTGCGGCTGTCAGTGTGGGGTGTGAGTGCGGGTGTCACTGTGGGGTGTGCGGGTGTCAGTGTGGGGTG